GTCTTGTAGTCAAGAGCCCTCTCTTTCCCATTCTCCCTCGTAGGCGTTTGATGGGCTGCGGCGGCTCGTTGGCCGTCGCGGGTTGCTCGCTGCCACTGCCGAGTGGCTTGCTTGTGTAATGATGGCGTCTTGGCGCGGCGGGTAGGACGGCATCGCGCGTGGAAATGGTCACGCGCCACCGTGCGCGTATGTGCCCCGGAAGGGGAGTGACATTCCCCGCCTGTCTGGCCGGGAGGCCGTTCAAAGCGCAAGCGCCCTGCGTAATTAAACCTCGCAGGGCTTTGTGGCCTTTTTCAACGGCGCTCTCCCGAAAGCTTCTGCTGCACTGGTGTGAGCCAAATTTGGCTCGTAAGAATGTGTTCGGTGGGGTGGGGTTTTCTCGGCAAGGTTGTATTGGCAGCCGCGCGCCCAAGGATGCGGCGTACGCGATTTGCCCTTCTGGAGGCATCTGCCCCACATGTGTCTGAGGAAAAGAAAACAACTGCGCCTTTGTGGGGTTGCGATGTGAAGGGCCATCCGCCAGCGAGCGCTCCGGAAAGGCGCGGGTATAGGCGCAATGGCGTTGTCAGGGTTCCTTCTGCCGAAGGCTGTGCGGGTTGGATTTGCCACGCCCTGGGGCAGGAGCCCGTTTGCCTCTAAGAAAGGGACCGGTCCCCTTCTCGATTAATTCTGCTGTTGCGGTTTGTGGCGATTTGAAGTGCGCAATACACCTTCCCGGGGCGGCAGCAGTTGTGTTGAATCGGCTCGCACGAGAGTCAAAGAAGTACCTTGAGTCTGTTCTCGCGGAGCGGCTGGCGAACCTGCAGCCGTCGTTCAGCCAAGACGCCTCGTCTGGCGACGGCGCTGGAAGCTGCTGCGACAGCAGCGCGGAGTTGCTGCCAGGCGCGGACGCAGGCAAGCGCCAGCACTCGCCGTCTGCGCAGAAAGCTGGGCGAGGCGATGCCTGCGCCGAAGAGGCGCGAGAGTTGGGGCTGAGCACTTATGCCGGGATGCACTCGGCGATGCGTCGCGACGAGACGCTCCACCACGAGGAGTGGCTACAGCTCCGCGGCGCGATGGGTCTGCAGCGCGTGAGCCGCGCCCCATTCGGTGATACACCCTGTCGGGCGGCGGCGGCGGCGGCGGAGACCGAAACACCGGAGAGACAGCACGACAGGCGGTGCGACACTACGTTGCGCATGTCACCGATTTGTGCTGGTCTATTGTTAATTTTCCTTTGCTGTGTAATTGGCATTGTGTTCTCTTATTGTTGAGAAATTGTTGTTTTCCTTAATCTGTTTCTTGAGTTTTTCTTGGAGTGTGTGGCTCTTCGGGTGCTGTGGGGAGAGCATTGCGCTGGATGCATGTGTTGCCGGGACCACCGCCACACGTGTTTTGCCGCTCTGCTGAGGGGGCCGTTGCGGACGACGGGGTGCAGGACCGGTCACAACACCCCGGTGGTCTCGCAGCACGCTTGCGTGGGCCTCCGCAGACGGAGAAGCTGCTTTCTCTTTTAGCGGAAACCCTCGTGAGCGACAAAAAGAATGAGAAGGAACAAAGTAGTAAGAGAAATCAGTCTTCGCCCTTGCTGTGCAGCAATGGAGATTTGGACGACGGACTTACTGTTGGGTGTACGACGCCGTTGATCGACGCGGATTTTCTCACGCAAGAAGCTTTCTTGAATGATTTATGTTTGTTTTTGGCTTCTGGTAAGCGTTCTATGGAGGGAGTCCCCGCCGTAGAAGCTCCATTGGCGTTATGTGGCATCCGAAAAGGGCAGAACCGAAAGGCATGTATGCTATTTTCGCGCCTTGCACGAAGTCAATACTGGCGTCGAAAGGTGCTTCTTTCACTGTTGCGCCAGTGGAGGCAGAATAGTGGTCATGCCTTCTGTAAAGCGTTGCTGCTGCAAACCATAACAGACACCATTGCTGGGGAACTTTTCTTAGTAGTGCCGAGTTCGGAGGAGCGCGTCATGCTGGAACAGCCCACAGAATCGTCTAGTTGTGAGGTGGCTGCATCACCAAGGTCCCACCTCCACCTCCAAGTTATGCAAGAATTGGAGGAACTTGTTAAGGAGACTGGTTCGTTCCGAGGAATGTGCCTTGCTGTAGACATAACTCTACGGAGGAGCTCACAGCTTTTGGTGGAGCAGGTGCGGCGAATTGTGGGGGGATTGGAGAATAAGGATGGTGATACTGCACTTGAAGGGCACACCCTAACGATAATAGAATCCGCGGTTGACGCTACCCTGTGCAAGATGTGGGAGGATGTCTTGGCCTTTCTTTCTCGCTGCGTGTCAGATGCTAGAGAGCCGCTTCGAGAATCTTTGTGGGTGTTCTTGACTGCGCTTGCCTCCAGCTACGCGGGAGCTCTCATTGCGTTAGAGGGGGAGGCACCGGCGACGAACGAAGGTGCCATACAACTGCGCGCGCTACGCATGTTTGTTGAGAAGATACAAAGAGACTTGCTAGATTATTTGACGCTGCGCCTCTCCAAGGACCGCGTTGCCGCCGACGAGTCACTCATAACTGTACACAACGTGGTTTGTCACTACACTTTCTTCTGGAGGGCGGCCATGGAGGTGGAGCTCGTACCTGACCTGCTGCCTCCTGCCTTATCGTCGAAGCCGGCTGTATTGGCGTGGGCACGTCAACAGGCTTCTACCGTGTGGGGCCGTGCAATGCGACTCGTGCAATCGCTTGTGTTTGTGCAGGAGGCAGCAGAGGAGGCGCCTGGCGCCGATGCAGTTACCTCTGACAGCCGCCGGTGTCAGCGCCAGCTGTTGGAGGAGTACGTCGAACGCCTCTCTGTTCTGCGGTTGCCGTGTCTCAGCGGCACCAAACGAGCTCGCACAGTGGAGGAGGGGGTGGAGGAAGTGGGAAGTGAAGCAGCTTGGTTGGCGTATACAACGAATTTCTTCCTGCGGACATATCACCCAAGTTGCTTCACGATCCTCTCCCTGGTACAACAGGACAACCTTGTTGCTTTGCTGCGCGAGCTGCACGCCGTGATTGTTAATGAGGATCGCGAGTCGATTGGACTCTCATTGGAGAAGGTTTTGCCATCACATGACGGTCCCGTGGCGGAGGCAAGGGAAGTGCTGTTGCAGTGGCATGTAAGGCATGTGCAGAAGAGAATGGTGCGGGCACTGAGCGAAGAAGCACCACTGCTCATGTGCCTCCTCTGTGCGGTGTTTACCCTGTTGGAGCGTGTGGGAAAGACGAATCTTAACATCCATTCTATCCTTGCTGAGACACTGTTGCCGATGTTGGTGAAGTTGTGCGGTGGCCTGGAAAGTCGTAGCGGTGTTGAGGGTGATGACGATGATGATGCGGAGAATTACTTCGAGCAACAACAATCTCTCACGACGCTAATCGCCTCTGGTTTTCTTTCATTGCCATGGGAGCTACGTGGGTTGCGGCTACGTCTCCTTCTACATCGAGTCATTGGTGCGAGTGTGGTTGATTGCTTCTCCGCCGAGGAGGCCCTTGCTGAAGTGGACCGCATCTTTGCACTGTACGCTGATGGACGACAGACGCCAGAGGAAGCTGCAGCTGCGTTGTGCGGTGACTTGACGTGCGACCCATTCATGCAGCTCCTGGCCGCCGAGGGTGAGGCGGCGACGAAGACAGATGCAATAGATGAACTTCTTCGCCGTGAGGCGCCTGTGCAGTTTCCTGCGCCGTGCGGGACGCTGCTATTGATGTCTGTCTTCCGCACGCTTTCCCTCCGCCTCCTGGAACTTCGTGCAGAGTGGGAGCAGCAGGAAAAGTTGGCGGGTGAGGGCACAATGGACTACTTGGGTCGACAGTCCACGTACTGCACGACAAGGGATATTGTCATGTTTCGTTTTCTGTTACAGATGGTTCACCGCATGGTTTTTGGTTTTCAGCTTCAGCCAGTAGGATTGCTGCGCCTTTGGCTCTCGTACTTGGCTCACCTCTTCACCCACATCGTCCCGCCCCTGACAGAAAATGATGAGGTCGTCCTCATGGAGCGAGCTACAAGACAGGAGGGGACTGAGAAGAGTTGCAGATATGCGTATCGACGCTCGTCGGCGGAGTCATCGCAAGGGGAGCTGCGCGCTGTCCTGGGCGAGTTGCTCGCAGACCTTGCCTTGATGCCGCTCGTCGACGGCGATACTGCTGTGTCCTGCCCTCCAGCATTGCCGCATCGACCTGGAAGCGAGAAATGGCGGCATGGGCAGAGCCAGAAATCACGGGAGGTTCTTCTGCTACAGCGTGTCTTACCTGTTGTGGTGCTTGAGGAGTTGTGTTTCGTGCTGAAGATTTCCACAGAGAAGGTGAGTGACGAGGGGACCAGGCCGGAACTCGTGCGCCACGCCGGGAAAATGACGGAGAAGTCCTTCTTGGGGGTACTTGGCGTTGTAGCATTCTGCCAGCGCCTAGAGCTTTTTGTGGTTCCGGAGTCCATTTCTGACCGACGGTTCACTGCCCTCCTGCGTCTTCTCTGGTCTGCGGTTGGGGCGAGCTCTACGATGGGGTCAACATGACTCTGCTTCTGTGATTCGGCAATGCATCTTGTTTTTTTTTTGTCTCATTTGCGTGTAAAGGTGATATAACCATGCACAAGGTCCAAGCGCTGAAGGGTACTCTCTCTCTCTCTCTCTGTGTGTGTGTGTGTGTGTGTGTGTGTGTTTACATTCAATGCACAAGTTCACTGGAGTAAGGGAGTGAATCTCTCTGATAAGCCTTGTTGTCACTCCCCCTTTTCTTTTGGTGACCACACATATATTTCTACGCATATGTTCGTGCATAAACCCATTTTTTTTTTGCTGTTGTTTTCATCGGCGCTCTCACCCATTTTCTCTTTTTTTCTTCGTTGTACTGCTCCCCTGGGTGCTGAAGTGGCATCCGGGGCAGATGAGAAAAGGGGGTGCCCGAGTTGGACGTGCTTTTCGTTCCTCAGTTATCAATCAGCAGCGCTGCGTCACTCCACATCTCCAGCAGGTGTCTTATCTCCTGCCACTTACACCAGGGGCTTCGTGCGGCGTGGAGGATGCCCAGAGACTTTTTGTGCGATGCTGTCGTCTGTATGGAGAAGATAAAGGGCAGCGCAGCGGTGACAACAATGCCGATATGCGACCGAGTTTTGAGGAAAGCATTGCATCACTTCGGCGTCTTGGGTTGGTGTCACCGCTGCTGCACAACGAGCACGCGGCAGTGAATGGCGCAGAAGCGAACACGATCCAGCGTGCACCCTTCGTCACAGTCCAACTGCACTCAATTGATGTGAACTCTTCCCCTGGAGGAGGCAAGGAGGATGCAGTGGCGCTGTTTCAACTTCTGCACGGTGTCATTATCCCATTATTGTACTCACGCATTGAAGCTATCGCTACTTCTAGTTCTCGAACCGACTCACGTCACACGGAAAAGGTGGAAGTGAATGCGTGTCTTGACTTGTTGCAGCCTCGGCCACGAGGATCCGGCACTAGTGACACCGCGTGTCGTTTCCTCACGGAATTGGTGAATGAGGCACTTATTGCCGGCGTACGCGAGCGGGTGCTGCATCCGTGCGGCAATGGCCTCTTTCAGCTCCACCGAGACGTGCTGCAGCGGACGTCGCCCTGTTTATTGGCTCTCCAATGGTGGTGGTGGAGACGAGTGGTGCCGAGTGTACATCGCGCAATGGATACCGGAACGAGGGCGGAAGCTTTGCCACTCGAGGCGTGGATAGATGTGCTGCAGGCGCGTGTCAAGCTCTTATTTGACAAGCGTGACGAGAGCATGCCGCGCTTTCTTGCCAAAGGGCCATTGGATGCTGCGATGACACTCGTCACGGACGCGGCACGTTGCTGGGGTCTGTACCCCTTGCCAGAAGACCGGCCATCATCGGGCGCAGCAGCAGCAGCAGGAACAACAACAACGACCCTGCCAAAGTGGCAGCTGCAGCTTTCAGATGAGGCACGTGTGGCATTGGCATTGGAAACATTGGGCTCTATGAGGGCCTGTCTTGCACGTCGTCCGGCCGGTGTGGTCATTAGTGAGTTATCGACACTGGTATCGTGGCCACTGTTGTCGAGTTTTCTGCGCAAGCGAAGTCTTCTAAAGGCACTATCGCATTTCCCCTTCCATTTTACTGTGTCATCAGTGCAAGGCGTGCTTGTGGCACATCAGCAGCTCAACGTAGCTCTAAAAGGCAGTATCACTGCCGAAGAGGCGTCAGCGTGGCTCTTGTCAAACCGAAACGAACCAAATGCAGCTGCTCCTGGAGTCTTCCTGCAAGAAGTGGACGTGGTTATTCGGGCTGTGACATTTCTGCGGAAGCGTCATCTGCGCGGCATATCTGTTATGTTTGATGAGTTGCGCGGTGTTCTCCTATCCTCAGCCGGTGGAAATGGCAGCAGCAGCAACAGTGGCGGAAATGAAGTGTTGGGTGTTCTGCGTCGGTACGATGTCATCGCCGGTTTGGACACTGAGGAGATTATCTCGTGGGCGGCTGTGCAGCGCGATACAGTACAACTGTCGCTACGGGAAACAAGGGCACTGAGAGCTTTGGAAGCCTTCCGAAAGAAGACCCTGGTCAGTCATGAGTTGTACGCCGAGGCGATCGAGCCCTTTCTGCACCGCTGCAGCAACGAGGCAAGAGCAATTGATGGTGATGTTCTTCCAATTACACTGCTCGAGCGCTGGTTACAATCCGAGCGCTGTTTACTGAAGCGGGCGGACCTCCTTAAGGTTTTGCGCCAATTCAATAAGGGCTTTCCCCTTGATGAAGAGGAGCTTTGCATACACTTGAAGGGTGGCTCTGAAACATTAGCACCATTAATTTCCTGCAGCGCTCCTCCGCCTCCAGTGTCCCCGTCCCAGTTAGCCCCGACGTCGGTACCCCGGGCCCGTTACAACTACGGACTTGCGTTTGATTCGCAACTGTCGCGTGTGCTGGATGCACAGCAACCGGACGCGTTGCACCACTTCGCACAGACGACAGTCTACGCGGTGTTTGAGCTACTCATGCCTGTTGTGTCTGTTCCGTCAGGAGTGCGGATGCAAACCCTGATCCGCCGCGTTCGCTGGAATTGTGTTGCAGCAACGCTTGGTACTCTTTCTTCGTTCGTTGAGGCATTCGACGGTCTTTTTTTCGATGTGTTCGAAGAAAATTTGGGCGATACAGAAGAATGTGTGGTGACAGCGTATCGCGGTCCTGTTGGGGCATGGATGCTGTACGCTCGTCTCATCGCTCGTCTTTTCCCACCCGACGAGGACATGCCGCTTCGACTGGTCGCGGAGAGCCTCTCATGGAATTTGCGCTTCGCCCCTCGGTTTGGTGATCTTCCGGCGCTGCTGCGTTGCGTGGGGCGCTGTTGTCGCGATGGGTATGTGCTCGCGACAGAAAGGACGATAGCTGACACCTCCACTGCCGCCATGTATGACGATTCGGTGCTCTGGGGGCTACTGGATAGTGTGAGAGAGCATCAACAGCAAGAGTCGGAAGGTGCCGCTCAGCTACCAACACACGTGTTGCTGAAACCGATGGAGCTTCGCCAATACGTTATGGGTGTTTTGGGGGCTGACACAGACAGTTCCGATGGGATGTCTCTGGCGGAGACGGCGGTGCGTCGACTTCCATTATTCTTCCAATGGCATACTGCCCCGTCTGGCCCAGCGGCACTGGTGCGCGTCGTATTACCGCACGCTGCTGCTACCACTGGGTTGGTAGCCTTCATTGAAGGGTATGTGTGCCCGCTGCTGCGGCAGCACCACGGCGTGTCGGTCGAAGAGTTGGACGAGCGACTCGGGTGGTCCTGCGGCTGCTTTGACCATCATCCCGCCGGCGTGCGTGTCGTGAAGGGTGTCGTCAGCGCGGCTTCACTATTTGGCGTCCTNTGGAGGTACGCGGAGGCTGTGCAACAAACGCGGATCCTGCTGCGGCCGAGTGCTTTGCCGCCAGACCACCCAGTTATGGTGTGCCCCAACACCGCTGTGTATCGTAGTCCAGAGGATATGCTGCTGGAGGTGAACGGGCTTGAATCTGTGGCGAACAGTGACGTGCTGCTACGACCTTCCGGGAGGCCTATTTCATTATTCGAGGTGCTGGCACAGGAACGTGAACTATGTGGCGACATCAGCGATACCTCTCGTTGCACAGGCTCGGAAGAGTGGCATGTCTCGCTGCAGTGTGGTGGCAGTGGACCTGACGAGTGGGAGAAGGAGCTGGCGGAGGGCAGAGGTGACATTCTTGTGTGGTGTGAGGCGTGAACACAATGTGCGTGTGCGAGATATATCTCCTTTACCTCGAGGTTATTGAGGTTGGTTGCTGTATCGCGACATTTTCCACAGTTGTTTTTGAATGGATTAGTGAATTAATGGGTGCTTGTGTCTCTGCTTGTACGTACACAGGCGCCCCTTTATTATTTACATTCCATCTCCTTTTCTGCTCTGTCTTTTTTAAAAAAAATTAATTAATTTATTTTTTTAATATGGATTTATTTTGTTTCTTTTGCAGAGTGATGTGCCGCACGGAGGTTGCGATGCAGCAGAATAGTAGTTACAGCATCGTAGGTCCGCTAGTTGGTACGTTGGGCGAGGGCGGTGACCCCCTGAATCACAAGCACGTGCTTGTGAAGGACTCACCTGAGGGTGAAATGTACGCCGCGAAGATTATCACATGCGGCCCGGACACACCGCAACGCAGAGAGGCATGGATAGCGGCAGACCTCATGAAGCGTGTGCCACGTGTGTCGGCCCTAGTAGATGTTGTGGAGACGGAGACGAACATAGTGCTTGTGACGGAGTACGTTTCACGTGGATCCCTCCGGAGGGAGATTGAGCACCGGAACCAGCTGCTGCAGCAGCACATCGCTAGAGCTCGTGAGAGGCGCAAAGGCCATGCCAATGGGGTGCTCAAGAATCCATTTTTTCCTGAGGAAGACGTGGTGAAGCTAATATTGCAATTGGCAATTACGCTACGACAGTTGCAGACAAAACATGTGGTCCACAACTGTGTAACCACCGATCATGTTTTGTTATGCAGTAAGGGCTTTGACAAGGTGAGGCTGTGTGGCTTCGGAAACGCGGTCTCGGGCAAGGAAACAGGGGAAGCACCGACCCACACGCTGCACTCCCAGTTTCGTCCAACTCCTTTCTCCAATCATCCTACTGTTGCTGCTGCTGCTTCTGCTGCTGCTGTGTTTGGGCAGCGTAACAACCGAAGCGTGCGGCTGCGCGAGGAGAAGCAGGTTGTGTGGTTGCTTGGCGCTATTGCATACGAGATGTGCACGCTGGGGTCGCGCCCGTCATGCCGCTCCACCGTCCCGCACACGCCACTCCCTATGCGGTACTCCCGCCGCCTCAACAGCATTCTACAGTCGATGCTTCTGAGAAACGCCGCGTCACGGCCTACACGAGCGCAGGTGATGGAATTTTTGCGGCGTAACGTTCACCCAGTGAAGAGCTGTGTGGATCGGAACACCGCCTCGCCGCTGCCGCTCGCCACGCCAAATGCGTCGCCGAAGTGTTTGCGTAGAGCAGGGCGTCACTTCTCGCTGTGTAACGAAGTGTCGATCCGCTCAGCACGGACGGACGCACTCGACGCTTCCGACGCGTTGTGTGCCGGTTTTCAAGATATGCGGATGGTGGGTTCGCCCGCGTGTTGCCGCAGCGGTCGCGCCACCCCGATGTTGAAACTGCAACGGATCCCGCTGCCGGAATATGAGTTGGAAGCGATCAGCAGCCCCCGCACCGTTGCACCGCTTGACGCGCAGCGGAAGAGTGATGCCGGCGTATCGAGGGGGACACCTTCCTCTAAAACGTTCTGCAATATCCCCATTGTTAATACGCGCACTGACGCTGGTGTGGAGTCGCATGCATTCTACATAGAAGTACCACATGGCTTCTCAAGGCGAAGACAAGGCCGTGGCGACAGTGCACGACTTTTTACTGCCGCTCTGCAAATTCCTGCGCTGACAACCGTGGAGCATGCGCCACCAGTCCTTTGGCATCATCTCAAGGAGTGTAAATACACCCCACTAGTGACGCCAGTTCCCGCATCTACTGATTGCAATCTACCGATTATACTTCGTAATAAGTGTACACATACAACTAGCGGCAAGAAAGAAGTCACCCCCTCTACTGGCAACAGCTGTAACTGAAGTGAAAGTGAGCATACACAGGGACCAAAGCAGCAGTACGCTATTTGTGTGGGGAGGCGCGAAAGAGAAGGTGAGCGGAGCGTAAGCTTTTAACCAAGCGAAGCAGGGTTCCTCGGGTGACAGTGAGACCCACCAAGCGACTTGGGTGATGAGGGAATCCGTGATTTTAGGACGATGTGATTGTTGCAACTCGCTTTCTGATGACAATCGACGGACCTGGAGGTTTCATTGTGTTGTGGATAGGCCCGATGTCACCATTCACGACTGAGATTTTCGTGGGTCAAGGACGGTAATAAGTCCCCGCCGTTAATTCTGTTTGGTGGATGCGAGGACTTCGGGGCAATGCCAAAGTCCTGCTTTATTCACATGATTTATCCATGCCTGGGCGGAGCAATGATCTGTACTTGACACGAGTTTGTTCTTGTACGAGTTGCGGTGTGACGTGTACGGACAGGGGCGCCATAAATTCGCAGGCTGACTGCTCTCCGGAAACATCAACGTCACGAGTAAGCTCATTGCATTTGCCTGTGTGCTTTTTTTTTTCCTTTTAAAGTGTGATATAGGTGTGTGTGTGTACTCCATTTAAACTCCGAGGGGGGAGTCTCGCGTGTGGGAGGGGGCGAGGACAAGTCGACGATTACTGTTCTATTCGCTCCTACAATGGAATTAAAGGCTCCTGTATTGTTTCTCTAAAGAAATGAAAATGATGGAGCTTAGCTTGATTCTTTTATGCTTTTATTTATTTCCTTCTTTTGTTTTCTCCTCAGTGTGCCTTCTCCTCCAAGTTGTTTTACGCGTGTGCTCTTGTGTGTGTGTGCGTGTGTGTGTGGCTTCCGCACTGAGTCTTGCGTGGATCTGCGCGTGTGGGGAAACGACGCGACCCTCGTCGACACTTGTCTCTGAGTTGAGGGTGGCCGAGGCGCAAAATCAGTAAAGGCAGGCAGAAGGAAGGAAAAAGGCAAATGATGTGTACATCCAGTTTGTTTTTTCTTTTTGAGAGAGGGCCGAAGAGAGAGTTGCTTTCATTTTTGTCTGGCTCTTTGCCTATATTATTTGTATTCATTTGCGTGATGGTTGCTTGCATCAACGTCGTGCATCTCCGCGGCGTTGGCGGCTGCGGCGCCGTGGAGCGGCCCGGCCGTGGCATGCGTACTGACGCAGCTCTGTTTGCTGATGTATGAACTGAGTGGTTCTCCCACCGCCTTGGCGCCTGGGATCATTCTTACATTTCCCTTATGTTTCCCGTCCCCCCCCCCTTTTTTTTTGCCGCCCAAATGTTCTCGTGGAGCCGTGCCTCCAACTCGTTCATTTGGGCTGGTGGCACTTGGAGTCAGGGTGGCGATCGGGTCGGACGCCTGCTTCTTGCATCATTCCGAAGCAATTTTTTTGTGTGCGTCGCAGTTCCTACCCCTCTGTCCTTCTCTCCGTGTAAAGGAAGGGAGCAGGAGCGAAGGACGTTTTAGATGCCAGGACAGGCTGGGACATCGCCGTCCTCGTCGCGGCGCAATGCTGCCCCTGTGAGTCGCCCAAGGCCGCGGCAGGACGCTCCTCTACTATACGACACCACCGTGCGCTCTTCGCAGGACTCGCGGCCGGTCATGGTGCGCGTGCCGCTGCACACCCCGAGCCGTGGCGAGGCAGAGGGAGACGATGCCGCGGACGACAGTAGCCACCTCCTGGCGACGCAGCTGCGCTATCGCCCCCTCGCTGTGGAGGAGCATGCCAGCAGCAGCAAAATGAACACGATGAGGCGGGTGGCAGAGGGTGGTGTGGGCCGTGGCGGCGCCCCACTTACGTCACCAGCGCCGCGCTCGCCGTGGCGGCCTCCGCCGGAAGAGAACAGCGCGCCTCTCGTACAGAGGCACAACAGAACAGCAACACCAACACAACCAGCTGGACTCCGGCGCAGTAGCAGCGCGCTGCTTGTCTCGCCGCGGCCGTCGCCACCACCAAGAGGGCGTAGACGAATGAAAGACCATGGAAGAGACTTATCCATAGCCACCCCACAGCCGTTTGTGGAGGTGGATTTGCAGCATAGTAACAGCAGCGGTGGCGGCAGCGGCGCTGAATGTGTCGCTGTGGGAGATGTTCTTCTTGCTGTTCCACCACGCTGCCGAGTGATAAGCCCCCTACAGCACCTCCTTATCTACGACAACGATGCGCAGTATCAGATAGAGAAGGCGCCAGAATATCATGGGGCTGCTGCTGTTCACAACCGGTGCGTGGCAGTTAGACTCTCAGGCGGTCGTGATACCTCGTTGCACCCACCGACGGAATGGCCGCAGATGCCATTAGCTGCTCCTGTGGCCGCTTTGCGGCCGGTTAGTGATGCCGGCAGAATGTCGCCGACGTCGCTGCAGTTCTCCCTGCCGCGCGATGACGAGGAAAACGACTCTTCTACGATGTCTACCTTGGCTTCGGAGTTACAGACTAGCAACCGTCCGCGGCACCTTGGAAGCAGGGCATCCTCGACGAGGTACAGCGTCGTGAAATCGTTGGTGCGAGGAAACGAGGGCTGGTCCTCTTCTGAAGAGGAAACCGCCGCTTCCACCAACACCCATGATGGATGTGTGACAGCGCAACTGACACAACACGGCAGCTCCGCGTCCTCGCGAAAGGCAGTTCCAACATCAAGCGGTGCGACGATCGGGTCTCGTCGGCTGCGGACGTCTCACACGCCCCACACTGCCTCGAGTGAACCCCTTACGAGCGGCTCATCTCGATCACGCCCATTGGTTCCTGCGAAGGAGGAGATTATGCGTGAGTTTCATGAGCTGCAACTGCAGAAGGAGGCGCTAGTACTGATGGAGTACGAAGAGAAGGATCGACGTGGCATCACTGACGCATACCTGGACGCAATGCGGGTTCTGCTTGTGGAACACACGTTTCGGCGGTCTATACTTTTCGCGCGGGATGAGGGGATTCTTGCTTCACCTCCAAGGCGACGTAGTAAGAAAAACGCTTCTTCCGAGACGTCAGCTACAGCGAGAATGTGTAATAGCCAGAATGCTGCCCCCAAGAATACGAGACGCTCGCGTGCGCATAATTCTGCAGAGTCGAATATACTCTCTTCTACCCCTGAAAGGACGCCGCGTGCTGGTGGAGTGTCGGTAGACAGAGAAAAGGAAAAAGAATTGTCTTTTTCACCTACCGTAGGTAATGTCGCTCTGAGTGACCCGAAGCAGAGGCAACAGCAGCGTCTTCAAGGGACCTTTGTCAAACACAGTGACATCAGGAGTGTCGGTGTGGGTGATCCTTCGAAAGATGTGATCTCTTCTTATAAAAAGGTCGACAAAGATGTGGATACTCTTCAACGCGTTATGCATCACCTTGAGACACGAATTCTACGTTTGTTTTCCGACGAGCTTCGTCATCGACAGCATGTGGTGGAGGTGGAGGGCGCTGGATTTCACTACTTGTTACGCTACCACCGCATAGTGGATGCGGCACTGCAGCCGGCAGCCATTTACCTGCATGAAGGGTGCCAGTGGCAGAGTATCTTGACAGAGGCTACCAATGGGCTTCACCGCTTGCAGTGTGTGCGTCTGGAGATGGAGTTGGAGCAAGAACTACAAAGCGCTCGTATTTTCGCTCAGCGTGTCGAGGCCCTAGTTAAAGAAGAGAACAGTACCCGTCGCAATGGTTTGTTGCGACTAGAGACGGAGGAGCGCCAACAGTTATCTCGACTCTTCCATATTGGCGTGGCTGCGTTACTGGAGCTCCAGACATGCAATCGTCGGCGACATGAACGACAAGTGGAAAGCCAGATTGAAGTTCTCCTACTCGATGAAATGAAGGGTCGCGAGACTATTAAGATTGAGGATATGCAATGCCGCGGAGTGCTATACCACCGGAGCGAAGCCGAGAGACCTGTCAACTCTTCACGCCACACAAACAGTCCTGCTATTGTACAGGGAGGAAAAGGAACGACGTCCGGGGATGTGGTGACGGAGATAAGTGCCATTGTGGGTGGTAACGACGACTGTTCGTACATAACTGACGCGGAGGTGCATCACCCGATCCATCCACAGACAGGGACGACCAACACAACGACAGTTTCAACGTTGCATTCTGTGAACACCAGGGATGCGGTTCATGCTGCAGTCGGCGAAAACAGTAGCATTATCAGCGGTCACCGTGATAGAGATTCATCAAGCAAGATTCCACTCGTTGAGCGTGAGTTCTTTGAGTGGAACCCCACCTCTAACACAGTGCCATCTACCACAAACAACACCACCACTGGGACTACTACTGCCGGTGTTGGTGCGCGCTCCTCGCTACACAATTCCTCAGTTGGCGATACAGGAAAGCTGCATACACCGTCCCCGTTACCACGAAGTGTCCCGTTCCCCGCCGCCGCTACGGCAACTACAACTACTACCACAACTACCAACACCACCACTGTCACCACGGTGTCCTCCGCGGTGTCGTCTCGTCTACTCGATGCTTCGTTGTTGCAGCAGTGCGGCAGAGATCAGACGTTGCTCGTCAACAGTTGTATCGATGCCTCTGCAGAGCCGTTGCTGATTGGTGTAGATATGTCAGCGGAGATACCAGACTCTGGTGACTCTGCGCCGGCATCGAAGGCAGTCTTGTCCGGGAGGTCTCAGAAGAGTTCCCATCGAAATGTGGGTGTGATGGTGGATTTTCACCACTTTTATGACCGGCAAGGTGCAAGCAAGAATCATACGCCACCGCCTAACCGTCACCTTATCCCATGCTCGTTAAAGAGTCGCCAGTCATGCAAAGAGAGACAGTGGATCTCTAGCCCACATTCTAGTGGAAATCGACGAGGGGATCGCCAGCAGTCGGTTTCGTGTGGTACGCAGTTGACACCACCAACAAAGCGTCCCTATCGAGACGAAATCATCTTTGACAGGGCACCGCAGCGGTCATCTGCCAGGGCTGTTGGTCATTACGACGGCGACGAAGAAAATGCATCATTATTGGAGAATAATATGCCTTCTTCGGCCACTGTTAGCTCTTCAGATTCTTCTTCAATGTCATCATCACGGAGAAATAGACACCGTGACTGGCAACATCATCCTCCATATGGTACGGAGGGGGAGGCAGGTAGTGAGGTGTTTGATAGTGTGGAAGAAGTGGAGGATGTTGACGACTGGAGTCAAACTGCTGCCGGTGAAGACCATATTGAAGAGACAAATTATGAAGAAGAAGAAGAACAGGTAACGGATAGGCCTCCTGATCATTTGGCACCTCTCGGAGACACAGCGGACTCGGCAGCCGTAGCGACAAAGAGGACGGTCACTGCCTCTCCGGAGATGGCACATCGTGAGAGTGTAACTATTCCTGACTTCTCTCTGTCCACGATGTTGGAAGCCACCGCTGCGGGGAGTGTAGACGGCGGTGACAATGTCGTGAGAGGGAAACGACAGGTGACTGGAGCTGCAAATTTGGATTTGAAAGCGAGGGGAACTTCTTCCGTCAGCTCGTGTTGCCACAGCGTTAGCGACAGCACAGGGTTGAATACAATGTATAATAATGATAATGACAAGAACGAAAATACATTGCGTGGCAACTCCTGTCGTTCGTTGGTTGAGGCAGAGCAAACACACTCCCCTCAACCTTCCATCGGGGGAGAGAGTTACCACTGCCCGCCACCTAATTACATGCGACCGACAACCTCTTGGCGGCGACAGCATGAGGAACTCGAGTGGGGGCCACGGATGTGCTCATCGAAGAGCCGTGGCCGTAGCGTGACTGCGACTCAGTCTGTCCCCCACTCGATGCATCGAAAACTGCGGCACAATGAAGCACGCGTGCACTGCGCCACTCGTATCCCATTCGAGGAGGGCCCTGGTGTGTGGGGAGACATGGAGTTGCGGCGGCGGCCGTTCGGCTACGACAAGTTGGGCGACAGGGCTTATGAAGCCGGCGACGGTCCTCAACAGTTTTCGCCCGTCACCACAACGGTGTGTTCGACGCGTCGCCGACAAGATGCGGCTTGGCGCTTCATGGCGGAGGGATCTGTGGGAACCTGCACTTCTGCCTCTAGGCGTTCTGCCTCGCGTCACACAGCCGCTACGGAGGAGGAGAACATCGCTGATCCGGAGACACTCGCATCCCTGCGCGGTATCCTTGAGCGAAGGGTATCCTCTCCCCGTGCTTCTTCTGCTACGACTAATGCTCGTGCTGGCGCTTCCGTTTCCAGGGAAATCTGCAAGATGTCCCCGGATCGACGTCCCCGCCCGATGACGCCATCTTACGTTGACGCCTTTTACAAACTCAACCACGAGACGGCTGGGCGCCGCCGCTTCCTTGCTGCTTTATGCCATGGGCCAGTTCTGCGGGATTCGCCCCGATCGGCGGCAGCATCGACGACGCCGCACCGTAAACATTCTCAGCATAGCCAGCGCTACTGCAAATGCACAAGTGACCTTGGAACTAACTTGGCCTTGTCACCAGGCACGTCGCGCCGAAGTTGTTCTCGTTCTTCTTGGAGTCCTCAACCGAAGCCGTGGCGCTGAGAGCTTATCAGTATAGACTACCGCAGATGCATATACAGACAAACACAAGCACGCACACAAATACATACATTAACCATGGTAAGAAACTTCTTCCACCAAGCTGTTTACTTGTTCTACACGGCCTGTGGAGTCGGGTGTGGTTATAATGTGCGGATCTGACTTTCTAGTTAAAGTGAACTCAGTCAGCATCTTCTTGTTCCTTGCGTGGAGAAGAAATTGGCTTCAGAAATGGTCTCGTCATGTTCCTCCTTATGCTACACTGGTTTATTCTCTTCTTGTTCTTCTTGAGAGAGAGAGAGAGAGAGAGAGGAGCCTGCTAACAACCCCCCAAAAAGAGGCAAATAAATAACGAGGGAAAGGAAGGTAGAGGCTATGCCACACGATCAACAATTATGTGATGGGTGCGGCAAGATCGCTTCGTCGTTTCAGTGCCCGCTCTGTCAGGCGGAGGCGGTCACTGACCGTGGCTTCTTCTGCACTCAAGAATGCTTTGCCAAAAACTGGTTGGGCCACCGTGGTTCCTTTCACAAAAGCGGTGTGGTGCGGGCAAAGCCGCAGTCGCAATCTACAAAAGTCGAAGAGGCTGGCGATGGTGGGACTCGCAAGCGATCAGCAAAGGAAGTGACGGCTGTCGGTGACTCAACGAAGAAAAAGCTAAGGGTATCTAAAGAGGGTCATGAGGAATCTGAGGTGAAGATGCCCATTGTTGTGCCATGGCACGTGTTGCCTTCAGTGGGGTGCGGCAATGCGAAGGTCGTACCGTCGCTGTCACCCGGCGTCCCTCGTGTTGTGGTTGGAGGATCCTCATCGGATCGTCGCATTGCATTCTGGTCTGCTGCTGTTGCTGCGTCGCACCATATCGCCGCCGAGCTCGCGGCCCAGGATAAAGGTGCGCCACTCCACGTGCTAGCCATCACGAGCAGCCCACTTGCAGCGCACGCCATGGCATGGGCGTTGCGCTGCACCGGACTTGCTGGCGCGCTGAAACTTGCTGTGAGCGCCGCGGCTGATGACTTGGCAGCTGACCCGTCAGCGCACTTCACCGGGCAGCGGCAGATCGTCGTCACAACTCAGGATGTCGCGCGGCGTGTAGCCAACGGCACGACATCTGCGTGGCTGCCGGGGGAGAAGGGTCTGCTGGTGACGCTTCCGGGCGTTGCTGACGCAGCCGATTTCCAAGCGGTTCATACGCGTGCTGTCTTTTTTGTTCACCGAAATGAGGCATCGGCATCGCCAGAGGAGAGTTGGTGTGCGGAGGAGGAGGTGGCCCATCATGTAACGCCACTGTCCGACGCCCCCTCGGAACTGCATAACCTTCTTGAGACTGCTGCTGCTCCTGCCTCAGCATCATCTATCGGAGAGAACTGCGTTGTCCCAGTTGAGAAGCCTGTCCGATTTGACAACGACGTGTCGACATCACTTGCACGTGGAGATTTGTCGGGTGCCCTTCAGCACCTTGTGCGGCTGTACAGCACACACCGAGGGGTATTCGAAGAGATCCTCGCGAACAGTTTTCTTTCAGCAGTTGGCGCCGCCAGCGTGGCACATGCTCACCACATTGTTGCATATGCGGCCCGACACCTTGTTGATCACTCCACACGGTTCAAAGGCCCACAGGGAGGCACGCTGAAGGAGATGTCCCTGCGCGCTTTATCGAAGGTGGTGCGGCTGTTTCCACCCATAATAGCACCCGAGGATGAGCCAAACGCAAATAAAAAAATGAAGCGCAAGGGACCTGCTGAAGGCACCAAAGAGAGTGCCAATAGCAGCGGTGGTGACAATGACAACAACACGTCTGTGGATCCGCCTTCTGCGGCGGAGAGAGATCGGCTCTTTAACTACTATGATGCTCTTCCCAATTTGCAGCTGCAGGCCACACTGTGCCACTTATATCCCCATGCGTCGCCAAACGTAATCGATACTTTAGGCGCTGCCTGGGGTGTGAAGAAGATTCTGCGCGGCCCTGATGCACTGAAGCAAGCGGATCAAAGACGCAAGGATGCGGTGCGGCGTCTTCAAAGCCGCTACGGATCCAAATTAGGCCCTGCCTTTGCCAACTATCTTGTTGTTCTAATGCACTTCCTCTACGACGCGGTGGCGGGCTACTCCCTCGCCGTGGATGGCGTGGAGCAACGTCTATTATGGTCCCTGACACTTGAGGGAGAAGTGGGGCCTCTGCATACCTTCCTTTCGAACTGCTTCTTGCTCCCGACCGCGGAGCCACCAACGGAGACAAAGGAAACAACGGCTAAGAAACTCTCCAGTCGCCAGCTGACAAAGAAGCCCGTTAGTCGTACAGTACTTCTGCGTATGCTGCCAGTGCGAACTGCCTCTGCAGAGGAGACTCTGCTTCTCCCATGGGTGCTGCTTCCCTTGGCAGGCCAACGGAAGCGCGATGTCGAGCGGCTGCAACGGCAGGCGGTGGAAGAGATCCTTATGGCAATGCCACGCAAGCCGCGACCGATGTACATTGGCGACGTTGGTAACCTTATTGGCAAGTGGTTCCGCTTCAACTCTCGTTTCGATGGTGCCCTCGGTGTGAGCCTCATGGAGTTCCTCACCCAGCACCCAGAGGCTTTCCGCGTCGTTGGCAACCTCGTGACGCGGCGCACTGCGGGTGTCGCGGACCAGGTGAAGATGCGCTTCGACGATGATAGTGGCGACGACGATGATGACGATGATGATGACAAGGAGCGCAAGGCGAAGGACCGCGCGTTGCTTACCGGTGCGAGGAGTGGCAAGGGTGCTGCCATGGGCGGAAAAGACCTACCGGCTCGTGCGCGGAAGAAGGCGATGGTGAAGGCGTTCAACAAGTCGCGCTTTAACCGCAACTATAAACCGATCGATCCCTCCGCCAAGGTGCCCGGCTACGTAAAACACGCCCCACGCAAAGTCAAGGGCCGCGGCCGCAAGGCCAACAAGCGCACAGTCAAGCGAGGATAAGGGGTCACACGACAGCAGCCTGCAGATACACACACGTGTGCACACGCAGCATGCTGCACGTCCCCACACCTTCAGAGTAAGTGAGCAGTTGTGCTTTTCGACTGCTGTTCATATAACGCGTTTAAAGGACAAAAAAAGGAAATTGAGAGACAAAGAAGCTGCGACAGAAAAACGAGCATATGCCGACTCTCGTCATTATAGTTCTTCTCATCCTGACAAAGTTCGAGGGAGGCGGGAAGACAAGAAGTGTCTCTGCTTACTAATGAATACCAGCAACTTCTCCTGGGTGGGGACCCCATGCAGAGTATATGTCGTTTCCTCTTCCTCTCTCCATCTCCCTCTCTCTCCCTCCTTCCCTTTTATTATTATTATTTTTTTGACGATTGACGAGAGTGGAGGGTGAAGGAAGGAGATTTTTTTTTATTTTGCAAAAAAGGGTTCGCCAAACTCCTTCGACAATGACGGCAGCATCATCGCGTTTCTGTGGTGGTGCTGCCGCCGCATCATCGGTGTGCGCTGCGATGCAGGAGGCGGAGCACAGCTTTCTACGCCATGTAATTCCGCTGCGTGTGCATGGACCCGGGCCGATGACAGTGCTGTACCGCCACGCCTTCATCCACCAGGAGCACCTCATCCACCGTGTGCTTGGCGCACTGGAGGCAGTGCCGCTGCCGGCCCTCCCGCGCATGTTGCTCGCTGAGGGATTTCAGCGGATGCTCGAGGGACAGATACCGCAGCGCGACATCCGCGCCCTCTTCGAAGAGGCGGAAAGTGAGGCACATCGTGTGATACTGCACGCAGAGTTCCACGCGGACGTGGCACGGCGGCAGAAGGATGCCCATATCTACGCGGCCATAAAGGGTGACCCCCTCACACGACTCCTCGCGTACGAGCTGCGTGCTGCCTGCGGCTATTATGCGCAAATGATGGCTTTGAGCAGCAGACCCGAGGAGGGCGCGGCGGCGCTGCTTCGAACTCTCATCGCGGCCGACATTCGTACTGATCCCTTCCTGCTGGACGTCATGCTGAAGTTTGATTCGCTGCGCCGGGATTTGACAACGGGTGAGCGTCTGGAACCGTGTGCTCCTTATGTTGAGGAGTTTGTAAAGGAGTGTTTGCTGGTGGAGCGGGACGCCTTTGGGCGTTTTCGCTTTGATGCGCGTGGTGACAATCGCCATCTAGTACACGGCATTAAAATCAACGACATCACCAAGACGCCCAAAGGCTTTTCAGTTGTACTTGACCCAGTGTTGCAGCAGTATGGTAACTTCCACCTTGAGCGGAAAGTAGTACACCAGGGCCGGTGGGTAGAGTATCGTCTCTCATGCGCCAAGGAGTCGCACCGCGTCGACCCACAGCTGCCTCTTCTTGAAACTATCAGTGCAAATATTCAGGGTGAAGACAATAGTGGTGCGGATAACACTGTTGCTGGTGATGCCACATCACCGCTTGAATTTATCGTGCGGTATGACGACCCCATGTGCCGCCGCCACAAGGAGACGTCGCGGGAGAAGGATGCGGAAAAGGACCATGTCGAGGTGTTTGAGCTAGCTGTGGAGGATACGAGCCGCACCTTCTGGGAGAGGTGGTTCATGGACCGCTGAGTTTCGTGGCGTTGAGTGATTGGGATCAAACGCGGTGCGCCTTGTCTTTGTGGATCATGCCTGACCCGTATTCTTTTTTTCTATGTTTGTTTTCATTTTATTCGTCTCTCTTGCTCTCCCTCTCTCACACACACACACACACACACACACACACACACCCGTGCTTCATGTGAATGCAGGTGATACTAGATACACCTCAGGTGGAGGTGTGAGCGAGGTAAGCACGCTACAGCCGCACTAGAAAGTGGAAGCTGAGTCGAGAGAAGGAAGGGATTTATATTTAACACAAAAGAGAAGGTATACACACTCTGTCCGCCATGGGGAAATGGATCGGGGGCTCCTACCTTCCCGACAATGCACCGGAACGTCTAAGTGAGTATGTGTACCATGGAACCGACAAGAGTCTCCTATACAAATATATCTGGCGCCCGCTTTGTGTACGACTCGTGACGTACTTGCCGGTGTGGCTCTCAGCGAATGTCATCAGTGTCAGTGCTCTTGCATTTGTGTTTGCTACGCATCTGTTGCTCGCCTGGTACGTGCCAAAGCTTACTGTAAAGGATAGTCTTGACATGGGTGAGGGCGACAGTCGGTTTGCGATGGAGTATATCCTATCACCACACCCATTTGTATTTGTCCTTGCCGCCCTCGCACTGCTGGCGTACCCTATCCTTGACAATCTGGACGGACATCAGGCGCGCCGAACTCGCACAGCGTCGCCGCTCGGGTTGATTGTGGATCACGGCTGCGACGCATTCAACTGTGTAATCGCTTCTCTCTCTGTCGCCTCATCTCTATCAGCGGGACCAACGTGGAAAACGTGGGCGTTGATGCTCTCTATGGTGATAGCGTTTTTCATGAACACATGGGAAGAGTACTACATTGATGAGCTTGTGCTTCCACTCATAAATGGACCGAATGAAGGTGTCTTGGTTGGCATTATCATGTATTTCTTCACTGCGTGGGTAGGGGGACCACGATGGTGGTATGTTAACGGTGTAACTATACCGCATTCATGGCTTCCTGTTGTGCTGTCACAGGCACCTCCATTGGCTGCTGTGGAAGTGGAAAAAAACGTCTTGGGGGCAATTTGTCCTTGGATTGCTCCTCGTTCTACTGGTGGGGCGGCTTTCTCTATGTTTCCCATGCTTCTTGGGCTTAACTGCAGTGATACGTATGTGGCTGCCCCACCACTCCCCCTCAGTTCAGCAAGTAATCCGACTAGTGCTGCGTACATTGGCCACAGTACATTGCAGAATGTTGTAATTAGGCTCTACGACACGGAGGATTCTAGAAGTGTGAGAATACGCTACAATACGATCGGTATTTTAATATTGATAGTAAGCTCGGCCGCTACAAGTGTGGGCAACATGATTCGAGTGTACCGTGCAGTGCGCCAACCCATAGATAAGAGCAAATATGGCTCAGGATGGTTAGTGCGTAACATGCCGTTTGTACACGCCCTCACGCGCCTACTGCCCCTTGCGGTTATAACGCTCTTTGCCACGCTATGGTTTTTAACTTCGCCGGATAATGTCTTTAGGAGACATCCGCGCATTTTCTGTTGGACAGTGGGACTTTTATACACTAAGTCTGCTATTCATCTGATGATCGCGCACGTCTGCGGTGTGGAGTTTAATCCATTTCGCCGCACCCTGTGGCCATTTTTATTCCTCAGCGCTCACATGGTACTGACGTATTGCCGCAACATTCTTCACATGACACAATGGTATCAGTCACCTAGTCTCTCGCTGTGGTTACGTTCTCCGACTAAAGTGTGGATTGGCCTCCCCGATGAGGAGCATGTCCTGTGGGCACTCTTCACGCTGAGTCTCCTGGCCTTTGTCCATCTCGTCATTAACGTTGTGAGGGAGACGGCAGAGGCGTTGGGGGTTTCTATTTTCACAGTGCCTCACAGCAACCAGGAGGCGCTACGGAAACAGATTGAAGAGGAGCGGGCCAAGAAGCACAAATGAGTAGCGATGCGTTTACTTTGAGAATTGGATTTTTCATTCACCAGTGAAGCTGGTAGTCTAGATTTCGTTTAATCGGCATCAGGAATAATTCTACAGGAAAGGGGATTAAAAAACAAAAAAAACAAGGTGGGTAGGAGAGGGAAATGAGTATGGGTGCACGACAGATGCATCTGGAAGTGTGACACCCGCATGTATTATGTAGTGGCGTGTGCTTAAATGTAGGTGGCGCGGTTGTCACAACATACCACGCGGCTGCTCCTACGTGTACTCTCTCCCCCAGCCCCTCACCCTTTATTCTTTTCGTTTGTCAAGCGCAATTGCTCTCGCCAACCCCTGCAGCCGTACGAGTTTGTATTATGCTTGTGGTTCTTTGTTACCCGCTCTTGTCGCCTCTATCGCGTTGTCCGTTTCCCACTTGTGTGGACCTCTACACTTCCACTCTCTCAACTTGTTTTGCTTCGCATGCTCAGGTGTGAACACCAAGGCAAAAGGGCAGAGCAAAGGAGTGCCCAGTTTTCTTGGTGTCCACACCGTGGCATCGAAAAAAGACGAAAACAAAATTCCACTGTATAGAAATAGTTTATTACACACAGCGGGGTAAGCAAAAAAAGAAAAAAAAAATAAAGACGCTGCTAGGGCAGCGTGAATAGACCATGTCGCAGACTGTGCGCATCCGCACGGAGATGCCTGGTCCTCTTCCCCGCTGCTTCACGTCAAATAGTACTGCCACTGCTACTGCTGCATCTCCCTTCCCGGGGTTTGTTCCGGGTGTGTCATTTGATGCATCGGCTCCGTCCAGGCGCCAGGCACTTCAGCAGTTCCATCGGTTTGAGATGATGACGGAGGTGGAGGAGCGTCTGCGCGCGGAAAGTGGCCTTGTGCTCTCCGACGATGAAGGCGTTGGCTTGAGGGACCAGCACGTGAAGTTTAGCGACGCCGTTGTTGATAGTAGTAGTGGTGGTGGTGGTGGTGATAGATTCACCGGGGAATCCGCTGCGAGAGCCGCGCTTCATGACGCTCGGGAAGAATTAGCAGGACGGACTCTTCACGTGGATCCGTACCGCGAAGAAGATCTCTGGTTGGAGGCGGAGCGGGAAGCACGATTAGAGGGGGACGAGGAAGAGGCAGCGCGGGGCGGCGGTGCCTTCTTCAAGCACCGGCACGTGCCCATTGGATCGAACGACGCACTCGAGGAGAACAACCATTCTGCTCTAATGGATCAACTTGGAAACTTGCAGTTCCGAATCACGCAGACTCGACTACGACAGCAGCGGCGATGGCGTCACACTCAGAGTGATGCTTCTGGTGAAGTGGTACTTAGTGAGGAGGATGAGCCCGAGTTTGATCCAGATAGCTATATTGCACCCTTGTTGCGTCCTGAAGAGATGATGGGTGATGATGATCTGTCGCTGCTGCTTCAACCGCCCACAGGCGGTGACGCGGACATGAATCAGCAAGATGATCTGCATTCTATCCTGCCAGACGGTGTGAGTGTACAGGAGGCGCTACGGCTACTCCAGTACAGCATTCAGTCAGATCGCCCCGACGTTGCCGCTTGTGTGCGGAAGTGCCAAGAGGACCTGCAGCAGCGCAACCACGTGACAACGCTTGCCAATATTCCCGTGAACAAAGAGACGAACCGCGGTAACAAGGCGGAGGTGCCACCACGGCGTGTGGAGCGGCCACAGCCACAGCCACCATCCGCAGCCGAGCTGGCGGCACTGGTGGCGAAGTCGCTGCCACCTATCCCAGAAGAGCTGCGCGACGAACTGACGGACCAGCGGCGCCTTCTTGAGCGGCTCGCAGCGGCTCAGGAGGAGAGTCACCGCCGACTCGCGCGTGAGCAGCAAGACGCGTCTTGGCGACGCCTTCTCGCCCCACGTGCGGACCCCACCGCGTTACCGCTCTCCTCCGCTACATTGCACGGGTCGGAGCCGTACGAAGTTGCTGAGGCGCTGCAGAGGTTGCAGAAGGACTCCAATCAGCCTCTGCCGCCTGTCATTACCATCACAACGATGCGCCCACAGCCCCCTGCACCGCTGAGGCCGTCAGTGCCGCCTCCACACTACTTGCAGGACGAGTTAGATCGGCTGCACCAACAGTATAAACACATCCTGCGCGATGAGCGGCGTGCGTGGATGAACATCATAGAAAAACAAAAGGAGACGTTGAATCGGGAGAAGAATGCTGCGGTAGAAACTCTACGCTACACAACAGCAGTTCAGCAAAGAGAAAATGCGGAGGAGATTAAACGCGTGATTGTTGCCCAGGAGCACAAGCGGCAGCGCTGGCAGCATGCTGCCGAAGTTAAACAGCAGCAAGCCTTCCAGCAGATGCTCTACAAGGCCATGCCGGCAGGAAGCACAGGAGTGGGGGCTCCCATTGCGGCACCTGCTCGTCAGCACCCTTCGCCTACAGGGTCTCGACATGACGTCCATCCGAGTCCGAAAAAAAGACGGTGTTTTAAGCGTGCAGGCAAAAATGAGAATGAGAAGTCTGCTGATGCGAAGAGAGAAGTGAGCAGCAAACCAAGGCGACCCACTCAGAAGGGTCCATACCGTGTGGTACTGCCTAAAGAAGAATGGGAGAGTACCCGGACAAAATCTCGCGATGGGTCTCTGGAACGAGTAGATGAGGTGGTTGAGTTGTCTGACAATGAAATGGAGAAATCACCACCGTTGCCATTCGCCGAAACGGCGGGCGGTGCTCGCATTTTCACCACGAGCCGGAAGATTACGAAGGCGTCTTTGACACCAACGGGTAAGGGCATTGGTGCCATTCGACCGCCACGGCGCTCTCCGTACGCCGCTTCGGCGAAGCGTCCCGCATCGGTTAGAACTACTTCCAAGCGTCCACACGCTCCCTCACCACATCGGGGTGTGAAGCTCCAGCGCAGGACTTCCGATACAGACCGAATAGGCGCTGCAACGCCCTACGCCTTCGATGTGAAAGGCAACCGAATTACTGCTACCAGGAGGTTTGAAAGCACAGCAGAAAGCGTCCTGGCTGCATCATCGCTTCCATCAGAGGAGAGTGTTGTCCCTCTCATTACTGCCGATGGAGCACAGGGACGGCACGAGGCCGATGCTATTTTACTGCGCAGCGTTGTGCTGCTCTCTGACCCACTTGCACCGGAGGAGGCGGCCAGGCGCCGGAGTCTGGAGAGTGCTTACGACGCATCCCGCTTCGTCCCACCACCAGCATCGCAGGATGGAGATGGACTGCAAAGGCCGTGTGACATGTACTACTTTGGCGAGGAGCGCAGCGCGATGACACCACACCGACGTGCCAAGCTTCTCGCGGCAGAGGCGCAGACTCGCATAGAGGCCCGGCGCCGTTTGGAGCGCATCAAGGCAAACTCGCTTTCCCCGAAGAATCAACGACTCGGAGAGGCTGCTGAAGAGCAGCAGTATGATGGAGAGGAGACGGAACGACGATTAGCAGATCTGCTCGCCAACGAGACAATTCACTGCATCATAGGAGAAGCAGCAGAGGAAACCCTATTCGTTGATTTAATGCGGGAGCTAGAAAGTGAACTGGTTCGGGCCGAGCTTCACCGCATTGCATCAAGTGATTTTATGCGGAGAGGTGGAAACGAAGAGCATGAGGAACATCAGACGGGTGTGCAGGAGGTAATGCAGTTCGAACGGGTAACGTCGAGGACCGGAACTCGAGGCGGATCTGTTAGTGAAGAGATGACATTGGAGGAAACAATCCTGAGACACCTTGAAGAGAGTATGCTGCATGCCCTGCAGGACTCCTTGGTGGAGAACGTGAAGGAAACCGCAGAAGAAGCAGTTAAGGTGCGCAGTGAAGATACAACGCACAGGGTGACCGAGGTAGACGCAAGGGTGGAGGAAAACCCGCCATGGGTGCGGGAAGTCGTCAGTGCTACCACGGATCCACTCTGGCGCCAATCAGAGGAGGTGAAGGCACCTCCAGAGCAGCCACTATTGCTCCTGCCACCCCCTTCAACAACAACAACATTAGTAACACCAGCAACAGGTGGAAGTCCTCCACCAACACTAGAACAGCCGAAGTCTGGCATTCTGGTAGCCGTGGAAGGAGCTGGCAGCGGCAGCCGAATTCTGCCTGGTGTTTGTGACACGATCAGGATTGTTTTGGATGTCGCCCCAGTGGTAGAGCATATTGCCGCTACGCTACCCTCACAACCGCCAGTGACACAACCAACACGCGGTGCTTCCATTGCTAGCGAGGACCGACGATTGCTCTACGCGGCAGAGGAGGATTTGCGTTTCTGCGAGGTTGTGGATGCCCCGAGCATCCAGGGTGGTAGTGCAGCAGTGGGTGAAACGGTTAGTACCGTCACACGGCACATAATACCTTCATCTGGAGCCCCTGTTGCCTCGGCGGGCCTGCCGGTTGGCGCTTTTCCACCAGCGGTAGCCGCGCCAAACCCAGTTATGCCGGCTGTTGTTGTTCCGCTTGCAACAGCTCCTGTCGTCGAACCGCAACAGCACCTTGAGGAGGAATGGCGAATGCTGCGGAGTCGATGCCAGGATGATGAGACATTGCGGCGTGAGACACTGGAAGAACAAGAAGAGACACTACGTGCTTCTTGGCACATGATGTGGGACTGGCAGAGGTCAAATGTTGCATTCCTGCAACATCAGCAAAAACAAAATCAGCTGCAGCAACAACAAGTGTGCCAGCCTTCTCTCCCGACGGAGACTCAGTTTCCCAATGCAGTGCCACACGCCAATGTCTCAGAGGAGGTGGCCCAACATGATGGTAACATTCTTCCACCGGCGCCATCCTCGATGGGCATACGTGATCCTATCACGAAGTTTATTTTTGAGTGGATGCACGACTACGATGAGACCGAGGGGGAGGATTTGGGACCAAAGGGCTTTGTGGGGCGGCTTCACGAGGCGAGCCACATGGCAGCGTGGAAAGCGAGGGAAGCCGACGAGGCAGCAGCAGCAGGAGAAAGAACAACTACAGCAACGACAGAAGTAGACGAGATGAATGTGCGCCGCCGGCTGTTGATGGACATTGATAACACGGAGTTTTCCTCTTGGCTTTCCTCCACGCATCCGAGCAGCGCCGGTGAGGATGGCATCCCGAAATTCGTGACTCGAGCCTCTCACACCGTTCCTCAGGTGCGACGCACGTACCGCCACAGCGATGAGAATCCCTCCTCTGCCACGACTGAAACAACTCGCTACACGTCATCGCCACCCTGGCTTACTCAGGTGGCGCGGAGCCGCGGACTCTCTCCACCTGTGGCGTGCTCCACTCCGATGGTGCGTACCACAACAAGTACAACAGTGACAACATCAAGTACCAGCCGCACATGGCCCACGACTAGCTCCTCGGAGAAGTTGCACCTTAGCGAGGTGTTACAGCGCCGCCTCCATTCGCTTCAGCAGTCAGTGCAACAGGAGCCGCCACAGTGGACTCTGGAGGAACTGCGGGCTCGTGTAGAGACTCTGCAGGCTGATGAGCAGCGCGCTTCCGAGGAGGACGCCCGTCGCTGGGGGTTCGCTGCTGAGCAGCTGCAGCACACAGGGCCTCCCGTTCAGTCGGCACCGTTGCCGCAGCATCCACAGTGGTGGTAGTCGCACCATTATAATGTTCTTTTATTTTGCCGAGTGAAGACGCAACGATCTGGTATAGAAGGGCTTACACGATGACGCTCTGAGTTTGTGTGCGTATTGTGTTCTGTATTCTTCTTCAGACGCATATATATATATATATATATATATATACTTTTTTCTCATATGAATTGTTTCTCGTGTTTGTACACTCTTGTAAGGCGTTCCCTGAAATAGACGGTGCAGGAGAGAATGCGTGCGCAAGCTCTGACGTATACACCGGGGAGTGATGCGCGCACGATGGTGACGCACGTCGATCCTGGTAGATTTTCTGCGTTTAGTCCCCTCTATGACGCCTCCGAGAATGGCACGACTGCATCCGCAGTGTCCAATGGCGAAGCCGGTTCGATTTTCTCAGGAGCAGTCAATCTGCTTGCTGTTGCTGAGGCGCATCAGGGTGATGAAGACAGCCCTGCCACGTACGGCATCCCCCCGCAACAACGGCATGTGATGTATGAGTGCCGCAATGGTGCGTTTACTACCCACGTACTACACGAGGAACTCGTCGCGAACATGGCGGTGGTGCGTGATCGAAAGGCTGGCGAAGAGGTGCGGCAGAGGTCTGTCAGTGGCCCGGCTCCAGCGAGCGGTGGAAGGGCCGGTGGCCGCCAGTCATTGGTAAACAATAACACCGGTAATTATTCCGCAGGATACGCGCAGGATTTCCACAGTGCAGTGCTTGTACTACTAAGGGGCCTTCGGGAACTTGAGTTGCTCGCTAGGGCGTTTGCAACTGGGGCTGCGCTGCTCTCTCTCTTGGCGGTACGTGTTGGGGTGCATCAAGAGGCACCGTTAGACGATCCGCTTCTTTTGTACTTTGCCATTGCTGCCGCCTTTGATAGCTCCATATTTCTTTTCCTTTTTCTGCTACTGCTCACCACGGCTCTTGCTCCCCTGGCATATGGAGTCTCGGAGGCACAGTGGCGAGAGAAACGACGGAAGCAGCTTCGTCGCCCCAGCGACAGCAATGGGAATCAACAGCAGCAGCAACAGCAACAACTGCAGAGAAGACGCACTGAGCATTGTCCGCGTTTTGGCCCCAGTGTGACGTTTGCGGATACAGGAATGAATATGGAGAATGTTTCGTATGGATCACATGAACAAGGGAGGACTTCGGTCGTGACGGAAAGCCCTCCGGTATTGGGAATGAGCATTGGGAGAAACGATACTATGACGGTGGGGTCGCACGCTGGTTCTCTTGCAGTACCGAGAGCTTCGGACAGCCGCTTGGCACGTCAGCTTGCAGCAGCTGAAAGCAATGCCTCGCGGAGACTGTTAGGGACGTCGTCGAACAGCCCATGGCGCTTGCTGTTGGCTCCCACAATATGGCTCTACGCGGTGGGGTTGGTGTTCAGTGTGGTGCAGATTGCCTGCACGACGGAGCGGACCTCGCGTGATATGTTGAACTTGAGGACGGATGGCCACGACGTCACAGCGGGGCTGCTCCTTGCTGTGATCTGCGTCCGTGCGTGTTTACTGGTGCTTGCCTTGTTGCTAGACTTCGCGACCCGCACTAAGAAGGATGTATACGCGTGAACTGTTTGTGTCTGTCTGTCTGTCTGTGTCTGTGTGTGTGTGTGTGTGTGTGATTAGATCGATAGAGATTGTGTGGACCCGAAGGAGGTCGTGTACGGCTCTGTCGTTTTGTAGACGGCACATCTGTGTGTGTGTTGTTGTTGCTGCTGCTGCTGCTGCTGCAGTTTCTGGTTGTGCGTGGCTTGTGTATTACCCCCTGTGCTGCGAACTGCTGTGACGCTGTCTTCTTTTTTTCTTTCTTTCCATTATTATTGCCCTTGGCGCCCTCACTTTCCTTTTTTTTTCTTTCTTTCTTTCTTTCTTATTGACTCCCGTCGCTTTGCGCAGAACCGAAAGAGGGAGACAACTTGGACATTACTACGCGCAAAGGCAGAAGGGGGGAAAAAAGGAAGCAAAGGAAAGCGAGAAAATATTTAACAGAAAAAAAACGGGCATTTCTGAGGAGGTTATTTGCTAGAGAGCAGCAACAAGGATTGGGCAACACGTTAGGAATAGTAAAACGAAGAGGTAAAGGTTTCACACAACGAAAGGCACACAGGGAAGGCTTAATAATAAAAGTACGCAGCTGGGAAAGGTGGTGAGGAGAGAAATCACCCCGACGGACACCTTTCAATACACGCAGCTATTCCCATTCGGCAAATTTTAGGTGTGGGGGAAGAGGGCTGCACCACTGAAGACGGGTCGAAGAGAAGGAAGGAGAGAGAGAGAGAGAGAGAGAGAGAGAGAAAGAAAGAGAGAAGTGTGTCGTTAAGAAAAACGTAGCCAGCGACACGAAAAGAAAATGAAGAAGGGNATTCGGCAAATTTTAGGTGTGGGGGAAGAGGGCTGCACCACTGAAGACGGGTCGAAGAGAAGGAAGGAGAGAGAGAGAGAGAGAGAGAAAGAAAGAGAGAAGTGTGTCGTTAAGAAAAACGTAGCCAGCGACACGAAAAGAAAATGAAGAAGGGAAAGCCAACTCAGAGCGCCGCTGGTACAGCAGTGTCGACAACGGAAGGGGAGGGAGATGAAGGAGCGAGAGGTGACGGTAATGACGGTAGAAAAAATGAAAATCCAACGACAACATCAACAGCAGCAGTGACGTCAAACACATTCCCCGTGAGCGAACTGGAGCGCATCCACTATGATCAGGGATGCAAGTCGGTTATAGGGCCGAGGCTGTGTAGTACCGCTTATGCCCCACGCTTTGGCCGAGTTTCCGTTGCGCACTCTTACATGAGAACACCGTTGACGTGTCAGGCTTCGCTGCAGGAGAGTGGCTCTATGCCTCTGCCTGCGCATCTGCCACACGACAATCTGCCCACTGAGATGGCAGGCGGGCTGCTGGGCCATTCTCTCGACTCACCAATGGGCAGCACATTTGGACGTTTTTCGCCAGCACTCGCCCAAACAATACCAATATTGCCGGTGACGTCTCCTGCGGGAACGACGCCCGAATCTGTCAGCATCGAATGCCATGACCAGTTGGTTGACGGCCGTGCGCATAGAACAGTGTCAAGGCCCATCTCATCACATCATAAGGGGACATGGTCACCTTCAACGCGGCTAATGTCACTGGGGATCACCGCAGCAAATAATACTTCTGGTGGTTTTGCGCATCGGTCGAGGGCGCAGAGCCTGCTGAAACCGCTGGCCTCTGTTCAGGACCCTGACGTGGCCTCTGCGGTGCTGGAACACAACCGCAACACCCTCATTGCGGAGCTGGAAAGGCGGAAGAAATCTTTACAACGACAATTGGCAAAGATGCGCAAGGAGGTGTCTGCCAACAACATTTTTGCCCTTGTGCGGGCGAGCAATGCCTCACAAATCATGCACCTACTGGAAAATAAACTCTGCGACGTGAATAAACGGGACTACAATGGATGTACACCGCTTCACGTGGCGGCACTTGAAGGAAATCAGGCAATTGTGCGAGTGCTAATCTCGTTCGGGGCTGACATTATGGCTACAGACAACATTGGGCGAACGCCACTTGACTGGGCCGCTGCAAACCGGCACAGCGGTGTATGCCGCTACCTCTTAGGCGTCACACAGTACCTCTTGTTGATGCAAAAACGGCGACAGCAAGAACAACCACAGTTGCAATTTGAAGACTCATTGGCATCTACCAGCTGTACCTCTCGGGGGGACAGTGTTTCTCTTCGTGGGACAGGCAGTCTTGTTGTGCCGTTACTTGCGAGACGTGTGTCACCTTTTTGCAACACACTCATGTCCTTTGCGAATTCGTCCACAGCAATAGATATTGACACCTCTGGTGAACAACAGAACGATCTTGTCACTGGCGATGTCCTGGCAGGCCTTCCCCCGGACAAGGTTTCGCTGTTAAGTGCACCAAATGCCGTGGCCACCGACGCCGTTTCGAATGACGAGCATCACGATGATGAAACAGATGCAGAAGGAGAGGATAACTACACCTCCCTCAAGTTCTCAAGCTACAGCACCATCTCCGACACGGTTTCACTTGTGGTGTGCATGGTTGGGCTGCCGGGGCGCGGGAAGTCCTTCATTGCCCACCGCCTCTCGCGGTATCTCAACTGGAAAGGCTTGCCTTGTCGCGTGTTCAACGCGGGAAATTATAGGCGCCAACTGCTTGGTGTGGACACCACGGCGGGGTCGGCGTTCTATGACCCGAACAACGCAACAGGGAAGCAGTTGCGCGACAAGATGGCGGACCTTTCCTGCCACGATCTTGTAGACTTTATCGCCCAGCACCGTTTCGCCGTTGGGGTTTTTGATGCAACCAACACCACAAAAGCAAGGCGAAGTCACCTTGTGGAACTTTTCTCTCATCTGGCAAAACAGAGAAATGTGGATTGTCGTGTCATCTTTATTGAATCTATCTGCACTGACGAAACCATCATAACAGAGAACATACTGCGTGCCAAGTGCGGTAATGATGACTTTAAAAATGTCACCGCCACAAGTGAAGTGATTGCCTCCTTCCGTTCACGTATTGTGGAGTATGAGAAGGTATATGAACCTCTCGATTACGCAGAAGATTTGAGCTTTATACGCATCGTTAACGTGAAGCACCACGTTGTTTTGTACAAGGTACCATGTGGGTTGGCAAGCCGCATCGCCTTCTTCCTGTTGAACCTCCACCCCGTGGCGTATCCCATCTACATTGCACTTCCTGGCGAAACGGAGGGCGACCACAATCATGTATATGGTGGGGGCGAACGACTCACCTCACTTGGTCATACGTTCGCTGTGGCGATGAAGAAATTTATTCTGGAGCGCTACGTACCACACATGGTAGTCCTTCACGGAACGAACCCCAGCGTGCTGAACACGCTGAAGCCTCTCACACAAGCGTTGGAAGATGACACTGAAGATGACAGCGACAATACGACAGACAAGGAAGAAAGCGGTCTTTCCCGGGGTATCGTTTGCCCTGAGGAGCTTCTGTGCCCGCAGCCTGGCCTTGATAGCATCAACTACGGTCGCTTCTGCGGGCGGACGGCGGAGTGGGTGCGGTCGAAGTACGCCAAACTTTCACGCCTTCTCTACGCTACGTCGCCAGGAGGCAGCTTGGAGTCAACGCTGAGCTTCAGTGGCACACGGGAATCCCTTAATGAAGATTCAGGAAGCGGCGACCAGCAGCAACAGAAGCCGCTTTCGGGGCGCCATCGGACTCCTGCGAGACATTACTTCGACAAGAGCGCGCAGGCAATTCGTCGCTTCCGACACGTCCCGAACGGTGCCGACCCACGCATGTCGTACTGCGTGCAGTTCCCCAACGGTGAAAGTTGTCGACAGGTGAACGTGCGCCTTGAGCCGGCACTGATGGCGGTGATGCGTTCGCAGGGTCCCGTCTTTGTTTTGGCGTCCCAGGTCCCCGCTCAGGGGACTCTTGCCTTTTTCACAGACGTCATGCCGGAGATGACGCCGACGCTGCGGCTTCCGCGACACGCAGTGGTGGAGATTGGCGTGAAGGGCGACATCACAATGCACCAGCTTGTGGAGTCGTCTGACGAGACGCTGCACCTGGATGCACAGTAAGTGGTGCTGATGTTGAAACGTATGTACAAACAAATGCACATGCACACACAGAGATATATACACACTCTCGTATACACGAGTTCTGTTTGTATCTCCAAACTTCTAGCGTTCCTTTTTTTTTTTTTCATTCTCTTTTCTGTTTTGCTCGCCTTTTTCGTCTTGGTGTATGCAGTATATATACATATATATGTATACGGTGGGTCAATGTAGCCAGTCGTCCTGTGCTGCTGCACCTTGGTGAAGGCGAACAATACACATGGAGAGAGGCAGTTTCTACAGCGGAATGGTTCATTTTGCTCAATATCACTTAGCCCCCCCACCCCACCCCCCAAAAAAGGAACGCTGTTGTGCGTCTACCTATCCAGATCTCTCTCTTTCTCTTTCTTGTTCCATGCCCTTTCTCAGTCCTTCCACTGTGTTTTGTCGAACACCTTCGTCGCTGTTTCTCGTCCTATGCGAGGTGATTCTTTTGTTTTTTGTTATATGCGTGTCTGCATTGAATCGTTTTGACAGACAACGGTCGCACTTCTATTCCAACCCGTGCTGTGCATGCCCTTCTTCCGGCACCTGCTTTCCTATTTTTTTTTTTTCTAATAACACACACGTCAAGGGAGCAAACGAGAGGAGGAGACAGCTGTTCGTTGGTGGGTGAGTCTCGCGAATGATCATCTCTGAAGGGACTCCTATGACGAACGGCGAAGTGTACGCCTTGCTGCGCCGGAACCGCGACGAGCGCAACGGCAAACTGCTTCCCCCATTCGGCCTGCAGTTTGTCGGCAGTAGCAGCACGCCGCAGATGCAGCAACAGCGCGCCACGGCTTCATCGACAGCGAGCACCTCAGTGCGCGCAAGCCTTTTCTTCCCACCCGAGGGGCTACTTACGGGCGGTGGGGCTGCCGGTGTAGTGTCTACCACTCCTCTGCATTCTGCCACGAGCAGCGCCCTATTTGCCTCACCAACAGTGTCGCATCTGATGGTGCTGCTCACTGAGGTGCGTGCGTTGCGTTACTTGGGACGCTATGCCACCACCAGTGGTGACAGGGCTCTGCAAAGGGTCTACGGGCCCACCAGCATACACAGCCACGCCCACCGCCGGCCAGGCGCCGCCGATGGGAACGGCGATGCGACGGGTGGAGAACCCGACGCCATCTCAACGGAGGAAAAAGCGTTGAGGCGGGTGCTGCAACAGTACCGTCCTGGAACCGTTGCCCACGTTTGGGCCTTGGAAAGTCTTCTTTCGTTGTGGGAGGTGCGCGGGCGGGAGATGGAGTCTTCTAGTGCGAATGGTGTGAAGGCCGCACTGCGCGCAGTGCGTGAGCGTTTCGCCACATCGTCCGATGGAAATGGCAACGGAAACGGTGACCTCTCTGCCACCGTCACAGATGAAGAAGGGCAGAAGCAGCGGCCTCCATCTTTAGATCAACCGCGTATGTTGTTTGCCAAACCGTCTTTGCCGCTCGCGCAGTTCCTCGCGGACCAGCCACCTACTGCTGTTACTGCAACTAGCGGCAGGGAGAGTGGAGGCGCCGCGGCGGTGACAACAGTTGTTGCGTCGCAGGAGCATCGGCAGTGGACGGAGCAGGATGTTTTGCGTCTCGTCATGGCGCGACCGCAAAACAGCCTTGACGTTCACCGTGTCGTGGACTCTCTCGAAGAATACGTTGGACAATGCGAAGAGTTGATGACGTTTCTGGAGGAGGAACTTGTGAAGTTGTTTGTGTCGAACTGAATTGGAGATAAGCGGGGGAGAAAGAGAAACGGGAACGTGACCGCTCGATCTAAGTACATTATTGACGCCACGACGTGAATTGGAGGCGTGTTTCAGTCTTGTTATTTGCCATACAAGTCCCTCGAAAGAAGGCAGTGAATTCCTTGTTTTTTTCTTTGCTATTTCTCTCCATCTATCTTTATTTATTTTTTTTTGCCTCTTCTTCTTCGTTTGACGTGCTTTAATGCTTCAACAGTTGCTCTCTGGAGCTTTCCAACACGAACGCAGGTTTGTATAGGTATATCAATCTGTGCGACTATACGTATATATCCGATACTCGGCTGCCCGTGTGTGGCAACAACAACAACGAAGACGATTGCCCCTCACATATAGAGGCCAAGCAAGCCCTATAGGAAAACCGTAGTGGGCCGAAGAAGCATAGGAAGAACATACCTCCTTGCACGTGTGTGCCTCTGGGTGTCTTTCTATCTTGATATATCTATCTCTCTCCCTTAAGTTCCTACTGAGCAAGCCGCTACAGTAGCGGCAACATTGTCCTTCACCACTTGATACCAACAACAAAAGGCAGGACGCCACCTGCCCGACCGAACCATCACCTCCACTAAACACCACTAGCTTTATTTTCATTCCTCGTCTGCGGCGCTAATACCTGCGAAAGGAAAGTGCCTCCTGTAGACTCTGCGTACAATGGATAGGGTGAGGAAGATAGGTCTTTTTGACCGACTCTCCCGCGCATTTGGCTGGGGAAAGACTGCTCAGCATGACTGCGGCGATTTGCGGGAAGAGAGTGACACAAATGCCACACACGGCTGTAGGAGCGACAACAGCCACGCTAAGGAAGTCGATTCGGCATTGCTTCGAAAGACTTTAACACCAACATCGGCCAATAATAAGTCGCTGTCGACGTCTCCACAGGCCAACGCGTGTGAGAAGGACAGTGTAGAAGCTGCGCAAATACCAAGTGGGACACAGCGACAAGAGGATCCGGTGGGAATGCTCAGCAAGACCGATGAATGTGAAGAAAACGTACTGGCGGATCCGAATGGCTTCTTCTCGTTTCTCGACGATGTTATTGCCGGTAAAAATAAACAGCTCCTTGAGGAGATGAACAGGCAGCGGCAGGGAGGAGGTGACGATCAACAAAATACTGCAGTTGGATCTGGAAGCCGCTTGACTGCCACACCGCAAAACTTGAATCTTTTATCTGCCACGTCTGAGAAGCAGGATCAGCCGAGGGAGGATCATGAAGGTAACGAACTAAAGAAACAGGGCTTATCACTGAATCGGCAGAAGAACCGGGTGACCTCCTTCCCATCCTCCTCTGCAGCTCGTTCGCTGAAGGACTATGAACTTGTGGCGTACTTGGGCAAAGGCAGCTTTGCCGAGGTTACGTTAGCGCGTCACAAGGTTACGCAGAAACTATACGCCCTAAAAAAGATATCCAAGTTGAAGGTGCAAGAGGAGGGCTGCATTCGGAGCACCTTAATGGAGCGACAGCTGCTGGCTTCACTCAGTCATCCCTTCTTGATTAGGCTCCATCGGGCATTTCAGAGCCACACACACCTGTACCTGGTGCTCGACTTCGCACAGGGTGGTGACCTATACTACTTTCTTGAGACGAAGCCGTGGGTACGGGACATGCGGCGCAGACTTCAGAGGATGCAGGTTGACTTGCGGGGCGACGAGGCATCAAGTGTGGTGCCGAACAGCACGGCAATGATCAGTACACGCGGGGAGTGCGACACGAAGGACAGGAGGTTAGGTGCAGTGGTCTCGCCAAGCTTTCTTTCGTTGAGCTCCACTTTGTTGGTGCCCCTAGTTTCCGACGGCAGTCGCACACCAATACGGTTAGTTGCTTTCTATGCCATTGAACTTGCCCTAGTGCTGCAGTACCTGCATGAGAATGGTTTTGTGTACCGTGATCTTAAGCCCGAGAATGTCTTAATGACACGCGATGGTCATGTGATGCTGACGGATTTTGGGGTGGCAAAGTACGGTGGCCGCAACAAGCCGCAAAAAGCAGGTAATGAAAGAATGAACAGTTTCACTGGTACAACGCAGTACATGAGCCCGGAGATGCTGTTGGGAAAGTCACAAGGCCCCCGCATTGATTGGTGGAGTTTCGGCTGCATGCTTTTCGAGATGATAACTGGTCGGAGGCCGTTCGAGGCAGAGAGCCAGTACGCCGTCGTACAGGCAATCGTCGAATGTGACGTGCAGGTCCGTCACGATGATTTCCTCTTTACCTCACTGGAGGTTGAGACACGTGTAATGCAGTTGCACAAGCGCCACCAGGAGCTCAAACTCCATATTTTGCGTCACGTAATGTACCAAAGGAGTCGTGACGATGTGATGACAGTGGGAGGAGAGAAGAATGAAAGAATAGTGTCGCCGCTGTACAGCTCAACGCCTGAAATGCAGATTTCTGATTCCTATCTGTCATACATACCGGCTGCACTGTCTAGGTCCATCCCTTCCAATATTATATTCCCCGACGAAATGCCGAGTATGGAGAGTGACTTATTCTTCGGCATCAGTGGCGAGAAGGTGAATGTGTTTGCTCCCATGACCAAGGAAGAACGCTCGCATTACCTGCTCCAAGCCACGGAAGAGATGACGGAGGCGATCAATCTTCTACAGAAGTTGGTTCTCATGCTACTGGAGCGGCGTCCAGAGCAGCGACTGAGCGGACCGGCGGTCCTAGAGCACCCATTCTTCTCCTGTGCGTATGTCACATCGCAGCTGTACTATGAGCGCCCTCCCGCTTCAGATAATCTCCACAGCAGTAGTGTCTGCAGTCCGATAAAGAGCGGAGGCATGGCCGTGAATACTCCTTCTTCGTTGTACGGCTCAAGTGCTGGCGATGCTTTTCCATGCACAAAGCGCCCAACATTGCCTTCGACATCATGCAGCCCTGGAGCAAGTCATGGTGCCGTTGCTGAAGAAGTTAATAACAGTGATGGTAAAAACGTTGGCACAGATCCATCACAAACGCACGGTTCTCCTGCTTACGAGGCTTTCACTAGGCCAGCTATTACACCGCGGCCGGAGAACTGGCGCGAGCTCTTCTTGGAACGAAAAGTTCGATCTCTCTACACGCCGCGGCTGCGTGCATCCGATGACCTGCGTTACTTCCCTAGTGCGGTGACGGCAACCGGTGTCAGCGTTGTGGCACAACAGCAAGCACTGCGGGAGCAGGCAAGGCGAAGGAGCGAGCGTTCGCATCATCACAATGATGAAGAGGCAACCGCCTCCGCCTATGCCCCTGCGGAGGTTTCTTCTGCGTCTGCTTCACCTCAATTTAATACAGAGGATGTATTCACTGAGCAGCGGGCGCTGCCTGACTACATTGTTAGCGAGGAGGAAGAGGATGAAGAAACGGTACCATTGTCATCGGCGAAGGAAATCGCTTGGGGGACGTCGTTGGCGGCCAAGGAGAGTGCTACTAATGTTCCAGGGCTATCCGCGTCATCTGAGCAAGTACGGAGTCCTGCACCAGGGCGTCAGCTGGAGTCGACGGACAGCGACTTCGCACGCAGCTTGGAGATTTCGGCCTTTGGCTCCGCTTCGACCACGCCCCTCCGATCTCATCGTGCCAAAGGCGACATGTCGGCTGAAGGGGCCACGGTTTTGTCCACCCCAGACCCGACGGCGAGTCCACCCGAACTTTCAGCCACGCCGCCACCGCCGGCTCCCCTGCTGTTACAAGCATCGATGATGGGGAATGCTGTGGCGGTGCCCGACGCCCAACTGAAGACCGGGATGGGGCGCTCCGGACAGGGAGAGGTGCCGCATGGCATGATACGCGCTGCGGAGGTGCAGCTGGATTCAGACCCGCCATTGATCGGGGAGGGAGGGAAGGAGAACGCGTTTTTCGCTCCGTCGCGGAGTACCAGTGATGACGAGGACGGCCTTTTGCAGACACTCGTCGATTCAGTGGAAGCTTTACCTGACACGCTTTGCGGTATTGCATACGATGTGGATGACTACGCCCTCAGCAGAAGCAGCAGCTGCGGTTACAGCAAACAAAAGAGATCACCGCAGCACACTTGCTTTTCCCTGAACACATGGATGTACACGCGGAACGAAACCAGTTCTGGTAAGGGTGTGGATCAACCGAGTCAATCTTCGCGGCCTTCGGTTGGTGCGGCGGGTGACTCGCTGCGGTCGGGCGAGCATCTAATCCCCCCCTCTGAATGCGTCTGTCCGGGATACCCAATCGTGTCTCACATCACCCCAACAGCGCCGGCGACGGATGGGTCCTCCATGCTTCGTTCCCGTCGCACGAACCCTAACCGCTTTGTAGAGACTGACACACTTCACATCTCAAACCCCTCGCTCTTCTCATTGACGGAGCTCGCGTCCAACACGTCGCCGACCTCGATGGCGGAGATGGGTGACGCGAGCGAAGCGCCAGTGGGGGGTAACGTACGCACTCTACCTCTCTGTAAATCAGCGCAGGATCAGCCGTTGATGGGGGGGCGGCGCGATGACCGCATTTCCTCGCCGCTGCTGGATACCTGTTCCGTGGGTGGGACGGGTGGAGCTCAGCATTACTTGGGATTCACATTCGAAGCGCACAGCGGCGGCGCAATCCTGCTGGGCGGTGCTGCGAGCAGCGGGGACAAAATGAACTTCTCTGGGTTAATGTAATGCGCAGCGATTGCGCAAGTCGATGAAAAATCTTGGCAGCAAGTTCAAGTGGGAGGGACAAGCCGACAAATCGGGGCGTATGTCCATCTCTCTCTCTCTCTCTCTTTCTTTCTTTATATGCGCATATATATATATATATATATATATATATGTGCGTGTGTGTTTGGGCATGAAGGTGGTTGGAAGGGGTGGTTTCTCACGGCGTTTCACCCTGATTCTCTTCTTCCTCATCCAATGTATTTCCCTCAAAACAAAAAAAAAGCTTAGTTTTGCTTGCATTCCATTGGCGTTTGTTCGATTTCCTTTTCCCCTCCTATACGCCAGCTGGTGTGATGGATGCTGGTAAACTCTCTTTCTTTCTTCGCCACCTCTGCTGAGCTGTAGAGGCTTCATTTATTCCTTGACGTTTACTCTCGCTGTGCTCAAAGTTTGCCGCTGTGTGTTTGTGTGTGTGTGCTTGTCGGTATCCGTGTGCGCGGCGCCAGCGACGGTGCCGGAATCGTCTTTCCCGCTGCGCCGCCTTTGCTTCATTCCGTTCGTGTATGCAACAATAAGAACAACGACGGCGCAATCATGCGGGGGAGAAAAAGACGAAGGGGAACAAAACTAAGAGAAAAAGAAGTGAGCCAACAGCATTCAAAAAGAAACGATCCTACGAGACAAAAACAACCAAAAAGAAAAACGAAAAGAACGAAACAGGAACGGACGTGAGCGTGAAAGGTACGCATCATTCAGCGGGGTGATGACTTTTCTTCACCCATTAACGTTCGATACAGTTTTATGTTGTATTCCACTTCCTCTATATCGCTTTTGTGTCCCGGCATGGGACAGGTGACGGATGAAGGGCGGGCACAGACGCCTGTGCGCCACATGGGCACCCCGGATGCGCACGCTCTGTGCGTAGCGCTGTTCTGTCCCCCCACCCACCACGCCTTCTTTTTCGCGTAACACGCATCAGTTTGCAGTGCCACATACATAATACTAGAGTAGGATCGGCCAGCGAAAAGAATGGCTTCTGCAGTTACGAGCTTCATGGACGCGATCCGCAGTCGCTATGGTGCGCCCGACGACAGTGACGAGTACGGCGCAGACGCGTTCCTCGTCGGTGACGTGGGTCGCTCTCGCAACAAGAAGTGGGAGCTCGTCGGCATGGAGAAGACACGGCAGAAGCAGGCTGACCACAAGCGGCTCGTCCAAGTTGTGCTGCGCGGTATGGGTATTACTGCTGCAGAGAAGACCGACGGCGAACTCACGGCGGCCGCGCTGAACCGTCTGCAGGAGGTGGACCTCTCAGACAATCCTCTGCTGACGATGCGGCAGGTGGGCACGATTGTGCAGCACCTCCCCGCGTTGACGGTGCTGCAGGTGTCAGACAGCCCCGAGTTGCTGTTGCTCCCACCGCCAGCGGGCCTGCCGCTGCTCGTGTCTACGCAGCTGCGCAAGTTGGTGCTTCACCGTGCTGGCCTGCGCTCCATCTGGCAGTTACGGGCGCTCGTGCAACTGCCGGCGCTCGACGAGCTGCACCTTGACAACAACGGCATCCAGCGCCTCGTGCTCTATGTGGATGCGGCAGAGGAGGAGGCGGCGGCTGCGGCTGCGGCTGCGGCTGCCTGCCACGCGCAGAAGAAACAAGAGGATGAATGCTGTTGGTTCCCTACCGTGACGACACTGAGCCTTGCACAGAATGAGATCGACTCGTGGGGTGATGAAAGCGGCCTCAATGGGACGCTGACGACTGCTTTTCCCCGACTTACGCGGCTCTTCTTGACTGGGAACCGCATGCCGAATCTGCACATGCAGGACGTTTCGGCTCATGGCAATACCAGTTCCTCTTGTTCAGATGAGTACGCCTATCTCCGCCCGCTAGAGCTGTTGTGCGTCAATGACAATGCAACAATCACTGACACTTGCACTCTTGATGCACTACGGAAGCTTTGCCCGCACCTTCACACGTTCCGTATCACGTACAGCACACTGTTTCCGCAGTGGAATGGGACACTGGGCCGCATGTACGTGGTGGCGTCGTTGCCTAGTATCACAACCCTCAATCGGGGACAGGTTCGACCAAAGGAGCGGCTCGACTCAGAAATCTTTTATGTGCAGCGTGGCCTTGCAGCTCGACAAGAACAAGAACAACAGCAAAAACAAGAAGGGGAAAAGCGGGAGGATAGTTTAACGCTGCTATACCCGTTGCTTGATGTCCTTCGAGAGAAGCACAAGGATGTTATTGTGGCCATCTACCGCGACGGTGAGACGGCGAGCCACGACGGCATCACACACGTGATGCTTCACCTCACTATTCGATGCGACGGATTCGAAGAGGCGAAGAAAACGGTGCCGAGCTCGCTTACCGTGGGGAAACTCAAGGCGCTCATACGCGCTGTTTTCGGTGTTGCCCCATCAGACCAGCAGCTATCATTTTTTACAGGTGACAGCGCGGTGGTGGGTCGTGCCATGGATCTCGATAATGAGTTGCAGAGTCTCGCGTTTTACGGCGTGTGCGACGGAGCAGTGGTGCGGGTGGTGGACACTTCCCTGCGGC